GAGAGAGAGAGAGAGAGAGAGAGAGAGAGAGAGAGAGAGAGAGAGATAGATACAAAAGAGGACGGTTCGCAAGCAGGTACGATAAGCCCTATGTATCTAGACCAAGGTTGGCATGGGGAATGTATGGATGTCTCGTTGTGGGGACGAGAAATCGAAAACAGGAAGAGGGAAAGAGAAGAAAAGGGCCAAATGTGAATGGCGGACCGGGGCGGCGGCGACAGTTATATCAGCTCGAGGGAGTGTCATCTACTCGAGTACTCCAGCGCGGGAGGGAAGGAGAAGTGGAAGCAGCGTGGAAGCATTGGCAGCACAAGCAGTGGGGGGACCAGAACCAAGATGCCCACGCTTCCCAGGCGATTGGGGTGGTGGTGGTCCAGGCCATTGGGGGTTCCCATCCGTTTTTCTTCTCCCTTTCCTTTTTCCCTCCCTCTTTCTGCGGACCCCCCTGTCGAAGGGGGAGGACAAAAAGCAAAAGGATGGAATAAAATAAAATAATAATATCATGATAACCCCGGACCCCGGCCAAGAGACAGGCTGGAGGGGAAAGTGTCATACCGTTTTTCACCACAACCCTCACACCCGCAGCTGCCTTCCCGATTTCGGGGCTGCGGCGTGCTTGGCTTCCCTCCCTCCCTCACCCACCCTTCTGGGTCATGACCCTGCCTACCTCCCACTCTGTATTTCCATTTCTCGGCCACTTTTCCAGGTCAGCAACAATCTTCCCCGAATTCGATCGAGCTGCCAGCACCGTTCAGCACCGCAAGCGTTGTGATTGTGATAAGTCAACTAGGAGACAAGGCAAAATTCTTAGCCACCAAAATCGCTCAGGCGATTCAACACTTAATACAGTACTTGTGCGAGTGCAGTGCAATCAATTCATGTGATTGACGGATACAACATCCCTAACCGCTGCAAAGCGAATGCTCACCACACTCTGCAGGTATCATACAATGGTACGAGTACAGGCATTCAACTAAGGTACTCGAGTACTCGAGTACAGTTCCTCATTCCAATTATCAGATCGAGAATATAGTACCACTCATGTCCATGAGCACCCGTAATCCAACTCCCAAGGAAGAGAGAACGGAAAAGAAAAAAAAAATCGATAAAAAAGGAAGCGACGGATCCCAATCGGGCCATCATGATCCCTAGCGTACCTTACATTCCACTTGTATCCAAACCCCCCCTCCGCCCGCAGCAGCAGCAGCACCGCATCAGAACCCGGGCGTCCTTCGGCACCCCCCATGCGCAACTCATCGGTGGATATTACCACCACCACCACCATCTCCTCCTCCCGAGCCCCATCGCGCTGAATCCCCAGGGACGGGGCGGAAAATGAACGAGTAAATAAATAAATAAATAGATACGGTAGGAAGCCTGCAGATACTAGCTTGTCGCCGTCCGATGGGTTGATGTGTACTCGAGTACAGTACTGTACTGTGCCTGTAATGTACGAGTGCAAACCGCCTATGCTCCCGCGAGAGCTTATACCCACAAAAGACACGACATATCCGGTAAAAAATCCAGTACAGGTACTAAAACGAATAATTCACTCCTGCGAGTGCAAGGTTTTTTTTATTTTTATTTTTTATTTTTTTTTTGAAAAAAGAAATGGGGCATGATACCGCCTCAATCTTATAACCAGGTTGTCGTCTGATACCAGTGTCAAATTAGTGCCATGACACAAATTGCAAACCAGATAGATACTTGTACCATACCGCAGATACCCACACGATCACCAAAAACCTTATTATTTCCCCCGCTTCTTCTACCGTCATTCGAGTGGGGTTACCTTACTGTACTCGAGTACTGTGCTGGTACGAGTACTGCGGTTTGAACCTTGAACCAACCAGACCATGCAATCCTCCAACATAAATTTAACCATACTTGCGCGAGCAGTGCACTGTACTCGTACAGTACCGGCAAGGATGCGCTTTTCTGCTACCGACTAGGACCCTACTCCACGGAAAAGGACTCCCCCTCAACCACACAATTCACACCAATGCATCTGAAAAAAAGAAGAAGAAAAAAAAACTCGAAACGCATGCATTATCTGACCTTCCCTTTCTTTCCCCATCTTCTCTCTTTCCCCCACCGCCAAGGTGCTAGTAGAAGTTATGCCTTGAAGTTGTGAACTCCAGGGTACGTTCAGGGTTTCCTATCGGGCTACGGTATTATGCCTAGTTATGTAAGCTGGGCACGAGTAGAGCAAGGTACGGTAGGTGGATTCCTATTTACAGTAAACCTTGGACCGAGTCTTTCATCCATGCGCTGTGAACGTGTGCTGCGATGCTTGCGAATTGCAAAAGTATCCGTGGGATCTGCGCGCCAAGTCTAATAATAAAAAGTTTCGTATCGGTATTATAAGATTTTCGGCTGCTAGTGTCAATCTTTTTGCAGATCTTGGGCTGTGATCACTGGCAAATGTATTGTGTGTCTGGTGGTTCAATGTTGGGTTATGCTCAACCTTGATTTTGTCTGTACTGACCTACTAACCTCTGATATACCACAGATACAGAATAATGATTTCAGAGAATTGTGCAGATGTGGCGGTAGGAATTGAGGAAGCATATTATAAGAAAGAGAAAGTAAACTCAAGATCATTGGAAACTTGAAAAGCTGCAAGCAATCAAACATGCATCAAGTAACTACTAATGGAACCAGAACCAAGAATTTCTCTCAAGTAAAGGAGTTATATATGTTCATTGGGCAAGAACAACTACTATATAGAAGATGGGGAAAGTGACATGCTCATCAAGAACCTCGCAGACAAGCTGCAAGATTCATAACTGCGCGCAGCTCTGAACAAAACCAGCAGGAACCTAGCTCGCTACGACTACCCATGCCAGAAGAATAGACCATCCTGGAAATTTTCAAGGTATCATATCATATCATATCACATCCAAAAGTCTTCTTCTTCCCCACGTTCCCCATGTTCCCCCCGCTCGGGTATGAGAATGTAGTATATACAGTACTCGAGTACACGAGCACAGTGCCATATCATACCCCAGGAAACCAGTTTTCCCGAAACCCCATTTCCAACTTCCATCTATACCGATGCGCCGCGGGTGGGGCGGTAAGTAGCTTTCCCGCCCCTTGTACTTGTATCAAATCATGCGAGATTCAAGCAAGAAGGCGCCCAATGGTTTGTGGAATCTGCTCTGAGGGTGTGGGCCGTGTGATTGGGATTGTGAGTGAGTGCGCCAGGAATTACAGTTTGGACCCGATTCTTCTCGACATTCCTGGGCATCGGTGAAGATCTGATGCATGACTGGCCCTTTTTATCAGGGTTTATTATACAAGGCCTAGCTGCGAGCGATGAAACTCTTGTAGAACGTAGTCTAGCAATCGGAACTGGTATCATACTTCTAAACTACGATGGAAAAACCATCACTAGCACTGCCCGACAAGGGCAACACATGATGACTTGCCCAAAGGGCGAGGTTATTTACGGTACGGTACGATGCGGTATGGTGTTCCCCTTGGTCGTACGTGAACCTACTTGTACAATATACGGTACTCGAGTGCCCGCACTCGTACCGGTACGAGTAGAGTAAGAACCACATCCCGGCCCCTGCACCACGATACTCGAGTACAAGTACCAGTGCAGTACGGTTCAGGTACTAGTACATACGGAGGGGTAGACGTCGTCGTTATCGTATGATACGGACGGTGCGGGTTGGGGAAAACAAAGGCGACCAACCAACCAGCCAGCCAACCAACTCAAACCCGGCTCAATTTAATCGTCAAACATGGCGGCGGCCATCAAAAGTGAACATTCTCCATGTCTGGCTGCCTGCCAGCCACCCCATAGTCTACCGTCGTCGTCGTTCGTAAGATGATATACCACACCATATCATAATTACTTATAATTCGACCAATTGGCCCGCCCCTCCCATTCCATCCACCCCATCCCTGGGATACCCGGACGATAAGGGCTCCCAACGCCATTGGTCAGGTGGAACTCGTACCTGACAAACAAGCTACGAGTACCGTACGGTACTTCTCGTTGTGTCACCTGGATGATAACGAGAGAAGCGAGGGGTGGGAATTTTAAAAAAAATTATGCTTCCTTATTTCTGCTCAACTTTGGTTAGTTTCCCAGCAATATGGGAAGGGAGTTGCTTCTTTTTGTTGTGCTCGAGTACCGGTATTTGTGTTTGACCCTTTTTCTCTCCTCTCCCTTTCTTTTTTCTTGATTGCAACTTGCCGTTTCAGTTAGAGTGACAAGTATCATGGGGAATGTAACTTTTCCATGGAAGAAATGCGCTACAGTGGAAAGGGCGAGAGGTAAAAGATACCGGTATGGCGAGTACCGGGGAGCGCCGGGTCCGGTAGTCTTTGTCCCTCACGCAGGATTAGCGTGTTTTTGTAACGAGTGGCAGTGACTTTTGCCTGACATGGGAGAGGGG